ACTATTTAGATTTCACTCTAGCAGTTAAAAGTTGTTTGTGCTCGCAATTCGAGGCTTAAATTTGTTTGTATTGCGGTAGAACGAACTAAATAATGTTCTTTTGTAAAAAGGTTTTCGATCATGCGCGGTGAGAAAATAGTTTGATGCATTGAGAAGGTTTTTGGTTGAATGAAAAATATCAAAACGGTAGACTAATTACGACCATCACATGCATATCTGGGGTTATAAGGGACATGTACGTCCAACCCAACCTTTTTCAATCAAGTTATTTGTGAAATTTGTGTGGTGAATTAAGTCATGCTTCTTTAACAGGTGACATGTACTCGTGTGGGAGGCTTATTATGATCATCACACAACTGCTCGGGATTATGAGGGACAAGTACGTTTAAACCAATCTTTTTCATCCATGAGAGAGTAAACTCGATTTAGTTATTTTATATGTTTTGATTCGATTGACGAATATTAGAAAGGTAGGTTAATTACGACCATTACATGAACATTCGAGGTTACGAGGGACAAGTACATTCAACATAACCTTTTTCAACTGGGTGTTTATTGTGAAAAGAAATTTCGAGACGATTAATTTTGAAAAAGAATCAAAGCGATCGAGCATTTGATTCTACACTTAAAAACATATTTCAAATTGATTTTCAAAAGAGATTTTGACATTTGATCAAGACTTCTTAAGTTATTAAAAATATTTGTTAACCTTATCAAAATATTATTTAAATGAAATACAAATAAAATAATAATTATAAAAAAAATAAGAATAAAGATGCAAATGGGGGTGCAAGAAAGATATGTTGATGATATAGAAAATAGTAACAACTAAACATGACTCAAAGGCTCAATGTGAATAAAAAAAAGAAATAACAATAAAATTACACTACAAAAATAGGAGTGAGGGTGCAAATATGAATATGGCCTAAGGAGAGGCATGGGCGTTGGCCCAAGGGGGGAAGGCCTTGGTCAGATGGAGGAGAGATGCATACAATTTTTGATCAAAGTGTGTTGTGATAAGGGTGTGTGGCAAAGCTATAGTAGGGATACTCCATAGAACCCCAGTCAACACCCAAGAGTCAACCGATCAGGGGTTGTATAGAGGGGCCACGTAAGGTCACGTGTGGGTAAAAGCTAGGATGAGATAGAGGTAAAACTGAGTGGGTGTCCCACGTGAGGTCTCATTTTTTTAAACCCTTCTTTTTCTCTTACCACCTGATTCTCTATTCTCTCTTCTACCTAACCTCATAGGTCCATCATGCAAATACATTAAACTCAACCGTTTTTTTACTTAGAAGATTTACACATCCTAAGTTTCAAAGAACACGATGAACATCATATGATGTTCATCGGCCCCAAAACCCAAATTCAACCAAAAATCTCCAAAACCCCAAAAACAACATGAATAAACCCTACCTAAAATGTCATCCTAAACATGAACTTACGTCCAATTTAAACAAGCAATCCATAAATCTACAGATATACATTAATTCACAAACGCAGTCCTAAGTTTAGAAAAACATTCAAATGGTTAAATACAACGACATAGACGCAATCAAATGTATAGTAACAACAATGGCGCACAAGGATTCAGAGAGACATTATGCTTTTACTAATTAAACATTATTAATATCTTGTAAGTAGTATTCAGAGTAATATTTAAAAGATAGAATTAAAAAAAATAGCAATTATTATTACATTAAAAAATGAAAATAACAATTATTTTAAAATAAATTTTACTCTATTCGTTTTTTATTATAAGTTGTTTTGAATCACTCTACATAACCGATGGATAATTAATTTTATTTTTCCTATTAGATTCTTAAAAGTTTATTATTATCTCTCACTTAAATTATGTAAAGTTATCTTTTCTATGTCATTAATAATTAATAATTTTGTAAAAACATTTATAATTTCTCATTTTCATACAACAATCATTATTTTCTTTAATAAATACAAAAATCAAAAATAACTTATAATAAAAAGCGGAGATAATATTTATTAAAATGACAATTATTTTAAAATAACGGAAGAATTTAAAAAATAAAAATAAATTGCCAATCATCTTAAAACAATATTTTACAAATAAATCAACTAATTTAGAATAATATGGAAATTGAAAAGCAAACAAATGCTAAAAAAGAGTTTTATGACTAATGAAGAGAATTTCACAAGAAGAAAAAAAGTCTCTAATTATGTCTTGTCGTTTTGAAGTCGCGAAAACCGCGTTGGCAGTCTTAAACGACAATGGTTTTGCCGACACACCTTTTTGCCTTTATTATTCTTTTTTCAAACACCGCATTATACGGACTTTTTGCCATACAAGATAAGTCAATGACCAAACTATATGTAATTCAATCTCAATCACTCAATTTAATTTAATTAAAGTTATAATAGTTAACATTTACTACTATTCTACTTTTGAAACATTGAGATAATATTGTTTAATTAATCGTACCAATAGATAAGATACAAATTAAGTATCTATGATGCTTGCATTTTAACCTCTTAATTAATACTATGTCATCATGCACTTGCATTTCTTTTATTTTAAATCAACTTTTTTTTTTTATACATTTTTATTTATAAATGACGTATATATGTTTGTAAGTAGGTCCTATTAACTAAGGATGTTCAAATGCAAATTCATCCAACTAAAAATTATAAATTGATTTAAATATTAAAAAATTACATGATATTTTTTTATCAAGTAGTATAATACTTGAAATTTACTCTTTAAAAGTAAATAAATAAAATGTTGTGAGTTTAAATTCATCCTTATGTATCTAATATTTCTGCATAATTGTTAATTAAACTAATTTAACGAGAAAAAAAAGTTAGTATTATTAAATGTGTTTGAATATTATTTTAGAAAAACTATTTAGATTAGATTGAATTTTGAATTGATTTTTTTAGAACTAATTCAAAGTTAATTGAATTACATGTATATATTTTAACATTTATTTATTTATTTATTAATATGAATGTATTATATTAATTTATATTAATTAATACATATTAGTTTACTTTAATCTATTTATTTTTATTATTTTATTTATTTTAAATATATAGATTATTATCATTTTATAATATTATTTTTAATATATTATATATCACATTTTCATAATGTTTTATAATATTTTTTTAATATGTTATATATTCTTTTTTCATAATATTTTGAAATATTAATTATAATTTGGATATAAAAATTGAAGAAATTGAATCGGATCATATTAATCATTAAAAATAGAATCAAACTCTGAATAAATTTATTTTTGTATTAGATAAATTTTTCTCTCAAAATTAATACAAACAGCATAGTGATTATTCTTAATATTAAGTCAATTTAATTGGTTGTAGAAATATCTAACTACGAAAATGCAAATTCAATTTTGAGACTTTACACTTATTCATTTTAAGGGAAGAATCATTAAATATTAATAAAAATAAATCAAATCTTAAAATATTTAGACATTACATCATAATTATAAGCATGAGAACATGTGGGGAAGTATTTTCTATAAAAGACAAAATGACTTATTCATTGCTTACTAAACTTCCTATTAAAAATACAACAACACATCAACCTTTTATTTGGACTATCGTACAACTTTGAATAAAATCACAAAAACTAAACTTCTATGTAACTGCACATGAATCTCAATTCCTCATTGGTTTTTGCTGCAAAGGAACCTTGGTCGGTGCTACAGTTCAAATCATATATAGTTTCAATTTTTGTTTAAGGTGAGAATCTCTGAAACTTTTGAACTGATCTTGTTTTCTTGAAGATGTTATGTAACTTGAGTTTTAAAAAAAAAGTTATTTTTTAAGGAAATTATTGAGTTTGTGAAAATGGATTGCTAATGAAAGTTGAAAATTTTAAGTGATTTTCATGTTTTGGTTCCTTCTTTTTGAGTTTAATGAGCTTTTTTTAGTTGAATTTGTTTTTAATTTTTGCACAACTTTTTCCTTTTTTTTCTCTTCTTTTTCATGAGGAAGAATTGAAGAAAAAAAGGGAAAAGGAAAAGTGTTTCAAAATTAGTTAATTTGTTTGGATTTGTGTGAGCCAATTTAAATTATTTTGTCAGATCAAAATTTAAAGCAGAAACAATAGCATGTGAAGGAAAGTGAGAAACTAAAACATGGAGTGATTAATAGTAAGAGAATTCAAATTTAATCATAAAGTTTTTGTTATGTTCAAAGGGTACTAAGAATTTTGATATTCTGCACATGTAGATTATGAAAATTTGGTTTCTGCTTGTTGGATTATAAAAATTTGTTCACATATTTTACCAATTTTAGTTAACATCTTCACACTTAGCCTATTCAGCACTGACACAAAACCGACACCAACACTTGTGGTTAGGTTCAATTGTTTCATTTTCTCAAGCTACTACTAATCGCAACATGTCAGTGATATTGTCGTGTTCGGTTGGTGTTTCATAGTTACATGCTTCTTATCAGGACTGAGATAGAGAGGATTTTTGTTACATAGGTTATAGATAGGGGTGGCAAAACGAATCCGGTCCGTTGGTTATGCCCATTTTATCCGCCCCACCTCATTTTTTTGCGTGCGCGCCAGTTAACATGAATTTTTGCAATTTTTAGGCTTTGATGGTGCAGTGCACGCGGGCGCTCCCCGCTCTGCCTTCATTTTTTGCGGAGCGAACCAAAATTTTAGGCCCGTACCCTCAACTATGTCTGTCCCCTGTTACTTTTGCAGAACAGACCAAAATGGTGCGGGCATATCGGTTTGCCATCCCTAGTTATAGCTACGGAGAATCGGAGATTTAGTTATCTATCTTTGCTGTTCTAATTTCTGTTCTACCCCTTCTGCAGAATGTTTCAGAAATCGGATTAACATGATCACAAAGTTTAAAAAAGAGAAGCTACCGACATTTATTGCTGGAACATATAGATCAATCAGAAAGGTTTGAAGGTTTTGTGTGTGAGAAAACATTACATTCAAAGAAGCAAATACTTTTCCACGCAAACATAAAATGTCATATGAATCAGACATGTTCAGCAATGATCCTATTCAAAATCTAGACTCATATTGCTTTCTGCCGAATGAGAATCTCGAAAACTACTCATCCTCCGATAACGGTAGCCATGTAACGTACCCTTCATTTCAAGCTTTAGAACAATATTCCGCCCTTGAATCTTCTAACAACAGTCCAGTCTCAAAGCTACAGTCAAAATCTTACACGTTCACGTCGCAGAATTCACTTGAAATCATCAACAATTCGTTAGAGAACGAATTGTGTTTGACACATAACCAAGATGACTTGTGGCACAAGATAAGAGAGCTTGAAAATGCTATGCTTGGACATGATGCAGCCGATATAGATATGATTCAAGAAGAATCTGATCCACTTTTGTTAGAGGCAGAAAAGTGGAACAAAATGATGCAGATGATATCGAGAGGCGATTTGAAAGAAGTGCTTTTTACTTGTGCAAAAGCGGTATCGGAAAACGATATAGAAACCACCGAATGGTTAATGTCAGAGTTGTCGAAAATGGTTTCGGTTTCGGGAAGTCCAATCCAAAGGTTAGGAGCCTACATGTTGGAAGCTCTTGTTGCAAGAATCGCTTCTTCAGGAAGCATAATTTACAAATCCTTGAAATGTAAAGAACCTACCATTGCTACTAGTAATGAACTCCTTTCACACATGCATGTGCTTTACGAAATCTGTCCTTACCTCAAATTCGGATACATGTCGGCAAACGGAGTCATTGCCGAAGCGTTGAAGGATGAAAGTGAAGTTCATATAATTGATTTTCAGATTAATCAGGGAGTTCAGTGGATAAGTCTAATCCAAGCTCTTGCTGGAAAACCAGGAGGACCGCCGAAGATCAGAATAACCGGCTTCGATGATTCCACTTCAGCTTATGCAAGAGGAGGAGGACTTGATATTGTTGGACAAAGGTTGTCGAAACTCGCACAATCATATAATGTAGCATTTGAGTTCCATGCTATAAAGGCTAATCCTTCTGAGGTGAAACTTGAAGACTTTGAACTTCGTCGCGGTGAAGCTATTGCAGTGAATTTCGCCATGACGCTACACCATGTCCCAGACGATAATGTTCACGGAGGTCAGAATCATCGCGGCCGGTTGGTGAGATTGGTGAAATGCTTGTCTCCTAAGGTAGTGACTCTTGTTGAACAAGAATCAAACACCAACGAGCTTCCGTTCGTCGCACGTTTCATGGAGACAATGAACTACTACTTGGCAGTTTTTGAATCAATCGACGTTGCTTTGCCAAGGGAGCACAGAGAACGGATCAGCGTCGAACAGCATTGTTTGGCTCGTGAAATCGTGAATTTAATCGCGTGCGAAGGCGTGGAAAGGGTCGAACGTCACGATCCTCTTGAGAAGTGGAAATCATGTTTCACAATGGCTGGATTCACACCATATCCATTGAGTCCTTATATCAATGGTTCAATAAAGAATCTTCTAGAAAGTTATCAAGGACATTACACTCTAAAAGAGAATGATGGTGCTCTTTATCTTGGTTGGATGAATCATGCTCTTATTACCTCTAGTGCTTGGAGGTGAAAACTAGTTCATTTTGCTACATCAAACTCTATATATGTATAATCCTAGAATAACTCATTTTAGTTTATGCTTCCTTAACTTGATTGAATAATTTCCTAGTTTGTTTAAAAAGCATGCTAGATTTTGGCCTGTTCAGATAAACACAAGCTTAGTTAAGTTCTTATAACATAAATACTTATCATACAAGTGTTTTCATATTATCTTTAAGCTGTTTTCGTAAACTATCTTAAAAAGTGTCTCCGTTGATTTCAAGTCCGCACCACTGCAGTTTCCGGTAAGAATCCTCAAGACTTTGTTTCTCATTCGGTTGAAGTGTTGTATATAAATTATATTTAGTCTCGATTTCCAAGCAATATGAGTTTACTTTAGTCATTTCGAATGAGTTTCCCCCAGTCGAGGGCATGGGCCACGGAGCAAACTTCGAGTTCCCATAAGAGTTGTCCTGGTCGAAGCTAAGGGACATAATGCGAACTTTGAGTTTTTACAGACGGTATCAATGTTCCAATTGATCTCAAGTCTGAGTCACTATGTCTACGAGGTATTGTCAGTATTGAGTGTGAAAATCTCATAGCTTTGGACTTTAGAAAAACAACTTCATTGGTTTGAGGCGTTTTCAGTGTTTGGACTTTAGAAAAACAACTTTTGGTTTGAGGCGTTTTCAGTGTTGTATATAAACTACCCTTAACCTCGATTTCTGAGATTATTTTGACCAATTCAAAACAAAAAGCATACATACATAAGATGAAAAAAAAATTTCTGAGATTATTTTGACCAATTCAAAACAAAAAGCATACATACATAAGATGAAAAAAAAAGCTTATGAAAATGTCTCAAGTTGTACAATAAGCTCTTTCAACTAGTCTCACAAGTGCTTACACTAATAATAAGTTCAAATAAGTGAATCTTAACATGTCATTTGTTTCAATAATGCCCGTGTCATTAAGCAGAATTGTACATTTTTGAATTTTGCTATGAAGTGTGTTTTAGAATAGATATGAATAAACTTCACCAAAGATTAAAAACAAAAGAATAACAACCAAACTTATCTACAAAACATGTTAGCTGAAAATTATGACAAAACAAGGAAGAATAGAACATGGATTTTTCACTACAAATCTTTCTAAGCTAAACTGCATTTCATTCTCAAACCCTTGTTCATATTCACCATCCACTTCATTCACTGAACTTCCAGCAATTATTCTACAAACTATCGAAACTCTTTTCACATTCTTCACTCTCGCATCGAAACTTTTTCCGTCACTTACATTCATCTGAATCCCAGCGTGTTCCTCGTCGAAGTTGAACTGAATTATTCGACAAAAACAACACGACGGATCGTTACAAAGATCACAAACTTTCTTCCCTTGGAAGCATCTCATTGTAGTGACATAGAATCTCAACAATTCATTTCCATCTACTGCACTCCTTGGATGCCTTGGATACTCTTTCTTCACCTTTTCTCGATATTTCTCAAACCTTTCGAAAACTTCTTCTGAGTATCTCACCCTTAGAACTGTCCTAACCTTCCTCGGATGCCTCGATGTGTTCATCGACGCCTTTTGAAATATCATCTCGACAATTTTTCTCGACGGATCTCCATCACCAAGCTCTGTCAAAGTTTAACAATGTAAAAAAAAACATAGTAGCAAAATAATTTACTTACGCAAATGACGTTTTACCGTAAAGTCGAGCATGAGTGTTGTTTGGCTTGGAAAGAACCAATCTAGCTGGAGTTTTCATGAAGGGGAAGCTTTCTTCTTCTTCTTCATCTTGTTTGTTTATTTTCTCTTCCTTTTGTAGAAGAAAGCTACTTCCTTTGCCAAATTTTGGTGGTAGCTTTATTACATCAGTGATCTTGTTTCCACATTTGACATTGTCCTTCAAGGATAACCATAAGCGTTGCATCTCTCTCCCTCTTGATTTGTGTGTGGTCATGTGTATTGAAATTGGAATATATAAAGCACACAAAAGAGTGTCTTTTTGTGTGAAACTGTTTGCTGTTTTAGTCCCACTATCGTCGAAGATTTTCTAAGCTTTATTTAGATATATGAGATGCCTTGGGATGAATGGTATTAGATGGAATAAAATAAAGTTTATATCGTTTAGACTATTTAAAATCGGATGAAGTTTAAAGGAATAAGGTAGTGTGTGTGTATATATATATATATATATATATATATATATATATATATATATATATATATATATATATATATATATATATATATATATATATATATATATATATATATATATATATATATATATATATATATATATATATATATATATATATATATATATATATATATATATTTCATCGTTTTTTATTATTTTTTCACTAAATATTTTTTCACTCTCGAAAATAGTTGTTTATTTGTCTTCTCCCTCTTTATTCTTTTTCTAGGTGACCGGCTTAAAATCGGACTTGATGGCGAGGTGATAACATATTATGTTAGGATCTAAATTAGGAATATTGGATGTTGTCCATACAAATAGGTCTACATTTTTCTCGAAGTACTTGAATAATATTGTTCTCTTTCTCAATAGTCAATGACGTCCTTATCTGAGTAATTTAATGGTTTTGAGGACCTATCTGTGTAGATTTCAACTCTTCCTTGGGTGTACAACTATCTTCCTAGGGATCCACCCTAGGATCTAAATCAATATAGTTGACCTTGTGGGCGTTGTGTGATTGGGATCGTATCCCTTATTCTTTTAAGCATTTAAATATCACGATAAAATAAATATTACCACTTTTTGATTGCCTATAACCACGCATATGTGTCTGTTGTCCAAGGGTATTTCATTGTCAAAGAGAGGATTGAGAAAAACAGCTCACAATGCGTTGAAGGCAGGTTTTTTGATGATGATATTATACTACAAAACGGTAAACAACAACTTCAAAGTAACAAATGTTTCCTATTCACCGTAGAAAAATGTGATATTTAGAAGCGTGCATTTTTTTATTTTATTAAAATATCTTTAACCACGGTTAGAATTCCAACCGTGGTGAAAAGTGAGGCCTTTTACCACGGTTATTTTAAAAACTGTGATTATAGGTAGCGTCTGGTCATGGGTTCAAACCCCAGCACCAGCATTTTTGATTTTTTTACTTATTTTCTCAAAATACTGACAGATCTTTCACCACGGGTATTTAAAAAACCGTGATTATTGGTAGTGGTCATGGGTTGAAGTCCCAACACCAACATTTTTGGTTTTTTACTTATTTTTTCAAGTCTAAGCACCAACATTATAGGTGGCACGCTTATTGAGTTTATTCACTGTCCTTAAACAAATCTTAGTCGTCCATTTAATGATTATCAACGGGCAAGACACTACTATTAGTGATCCACGTGAAACTTCCAACTTAGACGAACTGCGTCTTCTACCTCCAAACATCATCTTTCATTTATGATACTCTATTTCTCCACTAAATTAAACTCGAAAACAACAGTTCTTTCATAAACAAAACTCAAAAATATCATTTCTTTCATTAATAAATTTCAGAACTCCATCATCTCTTCTACAACTTGAATGAGACAAGGAAAGTATGGATTCGAGTTAGCAATGTTAGTTGTTAGTGCTCTTTTTTTGTTATTATTGTTCTTATTGTTATTGTTGTTGTTCTTGTTGTTGTTTCTGTTGTTCTTCTTCTTCTTCTTCTTCTTCTTCTTCTTCTTCTTCTTGTTATTGTTGTTGTTCTTGTTCTTATTCTTATTTTTATTGTTTTTGTTGTTGTTCTTATTGTTGTTCTTATTGTTGTTCTTGTTGTTGTTCTTATTGTTGTTCTTGTTGGTGTTCTTATTGTTATTCTTGTTGTTGTTGTTTCTTATGTTGTTCTTGTTCTTGTTCTGATGCTGCAATTTTTTTAAAAATTTTATTAAAAGACATACAACAACGGATATTTAAAATAACCGTGATTATAGGTAGTTCTAATGCTGCATTTTTTTAATTTTATTAAAAGACATACAACAGCAGATATTTAAAATAACCGTGATTATAGGTAGCGGGCTTTCCAGTTTATTACAATGGTTACTGGGACGTGATTGTAAGTATCATATATACAACGACACTCTACATAACAACGCCTGGGCTCTTTTGATTATATATCTTTCCCAATCGTTGTTAAATAAGTTTTCTGTAGTAGTGCGTTCACCACTAAGGAACTCATTTATGTGACCTGGACGTTTATCCCCTTTCTAAACATCGATAACATTGAAGCATATTATAGGACCTACGTCTGCTCCCTCGAAAAACATACCATCAAACCTTTGAAAGACTATAGGAACTTGGGGTTCATCCCTAAACCTTCAAATACATCTTAGTAGAGGACATCAGCCAAGCTGATGGGGTCCATCAGAACCACTTTTGACATTCCAACTCTGCATCTATAAGTTAATCACCATGGAAATTTTTTTGTGAGGTTGGACCCCTTTTACATCTGAGCTAGAAAAACTAATTGTTCTTTCTACAGATCAGGTATTAGCTATATGCATTACTTGGTAGACATATATCTTTCTTGACGAGCTAGATGTTCCACCTCTTGCGAAACTTCCTGCAATCATATTCAAAGTGTGAGTTTCTTAATTAAGATTATGTCTTTCTTCCTGCATCTGACTCCTTCAAGGTTGTGATGTTCTTTAGAGGTTTACCCTTATCTGTGGTACTCTTATTTTTGAATTTAGGAAATACCCCACACACATCTTTGTAGGTGGACTTCCTAGATTAACTTATCAATCTCTCACTCCAGGTGGCGACAATTATTTATGTAGTGATCTCGTTTCATGTGATACTTACACCACTTATATGACTCGCCTTCCATTATATATCCCTTGGGGCAAAGGGTTCAGGAATGACCTTGGTATGGTAGATGTCTTGGAGGATCTGCTCTCTCCTCGTGTTCAGTAGGGTCAAATGCTCTAATAACCTCATGGTGGGCTTGAACACAACTTTGTCTCGAACTGGTATCGTATTCTAGTTCCTTTGCTAGCCGAGTGCTTTAGATTTTTTGCCACATCGTTCTCTTGCATCTCGTGTTCTTTTCTTGATATTGATTTCTTCTCATTTGATATAACATTTCTTTGTTGTTGATATCTCTTCCATCAAGGTTGTCGACTTATGTATCAAGGCTTGTTGAACTAGCCGACCTCGAGGTCATTTTAGAAAGCTCCGATAACATATCTTGGTTTGGATTGACCACCTTGATGGTCTCCTCATAAAATCTGGCCAAATACTCGGACAAGAATTTGAAATAGCCTTGGCAAACTTTGAACAGACTCGTCATAAAAACATTTTATCCTTGTTGGTTAGGAAATGATGGACCATCTTTCTTTTCATATCTTGGTAACACACACCAAGAACCTCAGGAAGCATATATACCCCTAAAAGGCAGCTTTCTTCAATGTCTTTACCATCAACTTTCACTTTAGTGAGTCATTTACCCCGATAATAGCCATTTTATTGTTGATTGTGATTATGTGCTCCTAGGGGCCGCTCTTCCCGTCAAATGATACCGGGATGATGGATTGAAATTTTTGAGGACTAAAGAATCGCAAATATTCATGGCGAGTGGCTAGGGAAGTCTGGGCACTTATTGGTCAATAAACTTTTTCTCTGCATGTTATTCTTGTCAGTCATAGACACTATATTCTAATGTTTTTTATGATGGTACAACTCTTCCATGGCGGCTAACATCACCTATATGGAAGCTCAATCATTTTCGTTGCTATTAGTTCCAACCCCAACCATTGTGTAATAGGATCGGTTTGTGTGGCATGTGCCAGTTTTACCGGGTCGCACATTGGGCGTCAAATATACTCGTAAAATACATCAAAGATAACTCTACCAACGAGGGCATGTAAAGTCGTCTTCTCTTGATCAATTATATATTTTGTGATTTGTATATATCTTTTCTTTATGTGATCATCTCCTTAAATAGTATTTTCGATACACTTTATACCTAAGGCCTATCAGAGATCATTTAATGTGATTATCCCTAATTAGTGTGGTATCTTAATGGTAATTGAAAATAATACTTAATTGTCAGATCTTATATTGCAATGCTCTCAATCAAACATAAATGTGATATTTCCTCATATCTTAATCCAAATATTTCCTTTGTATTAATTTTAGACCGACATGATCAATCTGACCCATCAGCATCAGCCTGACCCTACTCGATGGATGAATTCTCATTTAAGACAAGCTCTATTGGATCTAGGCCACAACCAGACTCACTATTACGGATAGCATTTATCAAAATAATGGTATATTAATAAATTTTCACAAGTTATTTTTATAATAAAAATAAATAAATTGTTTTTAGATACAATATACATTATTTTTATAATTTATTTTGAAGAAGCTATAAAAATAATCTCATAATTTTTTTATGAAAAATACCATAAATTATTTTGATAAATTTTCTTAAACAATGTAAAAGAAACTTATGAAGGTTGACTAAAATAAATCAATTCAAACAAATATTAAATGTGGGATCACATAAACATTTGAAAACTACACTCACTAAAACTGTGTTACATTGTCATATTTTGTCATTGATCTAATATTCAAACTTTTACCATACAGTACATGTTTGGTTCGTGTGAGAGACACTAAAAATGATAGAGTAATATATGTTTAGTTTTTTATTTTAGACGAGTCGAAAACAATTTTAAAATTCAAGATTTACATCAATCAATATTATAAAATAACAATACTTAATAGCCAGTACTATTGTGCCCAACAAAAAAACAATTGGCATAACTTAGCACAACGTAGTAAAGGGACAAAAAAGTACGTTGCTTCTGTTTTTTTCTATGTCCGTATTCATTTATAATTCTTTTGTTCGTGTGGGACACCATTTATGTGATTTACATCTAGTCACGTTCCACATTTTACTT